AATTAAATAATAATTTTAGAGTCAATATCACGTAAATAAATTTAATTAAATAATTAATAAATTAAATATTTTATTTTATTTTTTAAAAACTTTTAACTTATACTTTAATGACACATGTTAACAAAACATGTAATACCATCTCTAACTTACCAATGTACCCTTAATTTACAAACTAAATTTCAACTTTCAATACCCTACCTAGTCTTCAGTTTCTCTCTCCTCTTTTCTTCTCCGCCATCCTCACTGCAGATTCATCATTTTTAGTTCCTCCCTCATTCATCTTTAAAATGTACCTTTTCTTTACCAAAAAATCATTAACATTCCTCTCAATCATCTTCAAATACCCAAAGAACTCCAAATTCCAAAACCCTTGAAGGAAGGTAACAGAGAATACCAAGAGAACCAAAAACAGCATAATCAAATCTAAATTGCAACCACGATTAAACATTGTCGACAAGTTGCATCGATCTGCGACTCACCCTTCATTCTTTTATTTATTTATTTATTTTCTCAACTACTTTTCCATTTTCATTCAAAACCCAAAACCCTCAAACAATACCCACTCCCATGAATGATGAAATAGCCCTAAATGCAGTGTTACAAAATGCATGCCTAGGGCCACCTAAGCGCTAAGGCAATGCTCCACCGCTTCGCCTAGGCCCTAGGTGGTAAAGATAGGCGTTTCTCTTATTTTTTAGATTTTTTGATCAATTTTGGTATTGGTTGGAAGAAAGGAAAAACCCTATTGGGTGGCGTCTAGGCACTGCCTAAGTACTAGGTGGTAGCGTACTTAGGCAGTGGCCAAACACCCACCAGGTGCTTTTTGTAGCATTGCCTAAATGTTTACACCCAATTGCAATCAAAATCCTTAATACGAGAACTGCACAAGTGCAATGGAGGAATTTCCTACTTTTAATGCCAAAAAATAGTGAGGTGGGTTGATGTTGATTTTAAATTCCAATGTCATCCATAGATCTCAAAGTTGCAACGATTGAGAAAAGTGAAGGAGGAAGAGAAAGAAATGGACATAAAAGAAAAATAAAAATAAATAAATTTTAAGTAGGCCCCCATGAATTTTAGTTTGAAAATTTTCAAAAAAATTTATCAAATAGTGAATTTCTTTTTTCAATTTAAAATTTTTTTAAAAATGAAGTTAGTAGTACGTAAATATAAAACTCAGAATGTTATGTTTAAACACTTTCTTTCAATGGATGACCATTAGGCCATTTAACATTGGACATCAAATAGTTAATTAATTAATGTGTTGGATAAAAATTTGTCACATCAGGCCAGAAATGCCACATAAGCACCTAGTAGGCAAGCAAAAGAAATCACCACAGCAGCCAAGCCTTGACAGGAGAGTGACATTAGCAACGGAAAGCTGATGTCACGTCAAATTTAGAGCGCATTAGAAATTGTGATTAAAAATTTTTTTGTGTAATTGTATGTTTTTATATATATGTATATTTAATAATATTTTTAAATTATTTTTTAAATTATAAAAAATTACAGTAAATTTA